TTTTTTGTATTTTTTAGTAGAGACGGGGTTTCACCATGTTAGCCAGGGTGGTCTCGATATCCTGACCTCATGATCCACCCGTCTCGGCCTCCCAAAGTGCTGGGATTACAGGCTTGAGCCACTGCGCCCGGCCGAATTTTTATTTCTAATGACATTTTTCATCTCCAAAATGGAAAAAACACATGTTAGCACAAAGAATGAAACACTGGATATTGTTTTCTAAGGAATTTATTTGAAAGAATTATATCTATGGAAAATGATAAATATTCCAAAAAAGCTCTGAATTTTAGATGTTGAGATATTTCAAAGGTCAAACCAGACCACGATTTGTGCTGGGCTGAAGGCCCATGAGGACCCCGTGCAAGACATCCTGTGTGATGGTCATAGCCTGGAGGATGACCTTCTGGGGGCTGAAGGATGTCACCTTTTTGGACAAATCATAAATGTAGGAAAGCTCTGGGGCTGGGCGGGCGTGGCTTGGGGGATGGGACATGTGGGGCTCAGTGGCATAGGGAGTGGTACCTGTGGCCCACGCTTTCGGGGAGGGGCTGGAAGGGGAGAGTGCAGGATGCTTGTGTCAGGCTGTGGCAGAGGGCTCCTGGCATCAACAGGCACTGGGCCAATGCTTGTTGGGCCACTTTCTCTCAGGTGAGGCAGCAGCAGAGGGTGTCCCTGGACTCAGTGCCTGTGTGGGAACACCAGATGGGCCTCTGGGACAGGGAACAGCCACCTCCCCAGCCCCACATCCAGACAGGGGTCCACATTGCAGGCTCCGTAGAGAAGCAGGAAATGGTGCAGGAGGATCTAACCTGGATGCAGGGTAGGTTATTTGTTCTGTGACTTCATTTGCCCAAATGCATGTGAGTAGAGGCTTGTTCCTTGACCCCAATTGACTTCTAGGCATCTGAAGGAGAGGAAAGACAGCCTAAGTGAGTTCTCCATCAGTGGGCAATAGAGGAATGCACCCTCACGCTGCACACCTTCCAAGAAACTGTGTGGTCTGTGGACTTCAACAAACTAATCCATGCCCCAGGGGTACAGACTTTGTCAGACACTTTAAAAGGTTTTCCAAGAGTAGGAGAGGACTCATAAGCTGTCCCAAGTGAATTTTTACGTTTGAACAAACCTTCAGTAAGAAACAACGGTGGACACCTTCAAGTCATTCTCTCCTGACACACGTTTGCCAAGGGCCATTTCCTATGAATTTATAGATTCTATTAGTTTTTATTTATTATGTTTTGAGACAGAGTTTCACTCTTGTTGCCCAGGCTGGAGTGCAATGATGTGGTCTTGGCTCACTGCAACGTCCGCCTCCTGGGTTCAAGTGATTCTCCTGCCTCAGCCTCCCAAGTACCTGGGACTACAGGCGTGCGCCACCACGACTGGCTAATTTTTTTGTATTTTTAGTAGAGATGGGGTTTCACCTTGTTGGCTAGGCTGGTCTCAAACTCCTGATCTCAAGTGATCCACCAGCCTCAGCCTCCCAAAGTGCTGGGATTACAGACTGAGCCGCTGCACCCGGCTGGTTCTATTACTTTCATAAGATATGAAGAGATAATCCTTCCTGGTGAAATCTGAAAGTCCTTACCTGCTAGGTTACTGAGGTTTAGAGGTCTGAGCAGCTGATTGACCGTCTGATGTGAGGTGGAGGAGATGGCCTGGTCAAAGGGGCAGCCTTTGGATTGGAACTGGATGCCCAGTGTGTCTGGGAGAAGGAAGGCAGCGAAGGGAAGGACCACAAAAAGGAGTGGCGGAAGACTGGCAGTCCCTTCACCCCACAGCCCTCTGCTTCATTCTCTGGCAGCTGCCCCTGACCTTTGTGACATTGAGGTCCCAGCCAATTAGAGCGCTCACTCCTGCTCTCCCAACAGCCTCCAACAAATCCCTGGAGACTCCACCCACTGAGCTCCTCCCCTGGGGTTCTCTAAGCATTCTGAATTTGTGGGCAAAAGCCCCTTTACCAACAGCATAACTACATACTTCACTTTCACAAGTTGGCCTGCCTGGGTGAGGGCAATTATTTTAGTCATATGTGCTTCGATTTCTGGGAGAGTGAAGTCAATTCAGTTTTTGAGAGTGCTCTATATTTTAAGGGTGAATTTAGATCTGTTATTTTATTTTATTTTATTTTATTTATTTTTGAGAAAGGGTCTCGCTCTGTCATCCAGGCTGGAGTGCAGTGGCACCATCTCAGCTCACTGAGGCTTCCGCCTCCTGGGTTCACGCAATTCTTGAGCCTCAGCCTCCCGATTGGCTGGAACTACAGGTGTGTGCCACGACACCCAGCTAAGTTTTGTATTTTTGGTGTAGAGATGGGATTTCACTGTATTGGTCAGGCTGGTCTTGAATTCCTGGCCTGAAGTGATCCACCTGCTTCGGCCTCCCAAAGTGCTGGGATTACAGATGTGAGCCACCATGCCAGACCAAAATTTTTTATTTTAAATAAATTATGGAAATGATGAAAACATTTCATTTATAAAATAAATGTAGGCCGGCGCTGTGGCTCCCGCCTGTAATCCCAGCACTTTGGGAGGCCAAGGCGGGTGGGTCACCTGAGGTCGAGAGTTTGAGACTAGCCTGGCCAACATGGCAAAAACCCATCTCTACTAAAAATATAAAAATTAGCCAGGCATGGTGGCACACACCTGTAATCCCAGCTACTCAGGAGGCTGAGACAGGAGAATCACTTGAACCTGAGAGGAGGAGGTTGCAGTGAGCCAAGATTGTGCCACTGCACTCCAGCCTGGGGACAGAGTAAGGCTCCATCTCAAAAAATAAATAAATACATAAAATTAATGTAGGAAATTTGAGAAATCTAATTTTGGTCCGGAATAAACCAAAATATTGTACTAACATTTGTTTAAAAAGATAAACTAATAATTAAAGAGTGAATCATGGTAACGTTTTCCTTTATTTTGAAGTTGACGTCTTTTCTTATGTCATAGCTGGTTTAAAAGGTTATCAGGGAAATACACATTTTTTAGTGTCCATAAAAAAATAGTTCAATAACTTTTTTCTTTAAACAATTTAGACTTTACCTGAACTAAAAATTCCTAGAATATATGCATAACAGCTGAATGTAATTTTTGTTAAGTCTTCCATGTTTTCAAAAGAGGGAAAAGGAGAGGAAGTGGGATAGATAAAAATGAGAAGGAGCTGGCTTTAGACAAATAACTGATCATTTTTCTCTGTAAGAAGAGGGATGAAAGTTTAGACATATATACAAAACACACACAAGAGTGTCCTATATCTGGTTTTGACATAATTTCAGTTCTTGACAATTCTATCAAGCCATACAACTTTTTTAAAAGTCAGAATGTATTAATCTCCAACATATGGAAAGGAAGGAAGTGATGCCTCCCTGTGAAACAAGATGATCTGTCATTTAGGCAAACAAGACAAAGATTTTCCTCATGAGGGTTCTTTTATTCTTGGTACCCAGAGTCTCCTTAAAAAGTTTAGCCAAGGCCGGGCGCGGTGGCTCATCCCTATAATCCCAGCACTTCGGGAGGCTGAGGCTGGTGGATCAAGAGGTCAGGAGATCAACACCATCCTGGCTAACATGGTAAAGCCCCGTCTCTACTAAAAATACAAAAAAAAAAAAAAATTAGCTGGAAGTGGTGGTGGGCGCCTGTAGTCCCAGCTACTGGGGAGGCTGTGGCAGGAGAATGGCATGAACCTGGGAGGCAGAGCTTGCAGTGAGCCGAGATTGCGCCACTGCACTTCAGCCTGGGCAACAGAGCGAGACTCCATCTCAAAAAAAAAGAAAAAAAGAAGTTTAGCCAAATATTGATGTTTATACAATAGAGTAATTTGCCAGCCAACTTTTTTTGTTTACCCAACATAGGGACAGTTTTGGACCTGAAGCCTTTCACAAAACGTGGAAAGGGCATTGGAAATGTCAACATTTAAAGATGCTTGGTTGGGCGCGGTAGCTCATGCCTGTAATCCTAGCACTTTGGGAGGCTGAGTTGGGTGGATCACCTGAGGTCAGGAGTTTGAGACCAGCCTGGCCAACATCATGAAACTCCGTCTCTACTAAAAATACAAAAATTAGCCGGGCATGGTGGTACATGCCTGTAATCCCAGCTACTCAGGAGGCTGAGGCAGGAGAATCACTTGAATTTGGGAGGAGGAGTTTGCAGTGAGCTGAGATGGTGCCATTGTACTCCAGCCTGGGTGACAGAGTGAGACTCCATCTCAAAAAAAAAAAAAAAACCAAAGAAAAGAAAAGATGCTTATGAGGGAAAAGATGCTCATATTAGTTACAGCTAAAGAATATTTTAGAGAGGCACTTTTTGAGTCCAAATTGTGTTTAGGAGCCTCCTCATACCAATTAAAGACAGCAGACCTTTGGATATTCAGAATTTTGCTTTGTTTTTGTTTTGTCTATATCAGAGTTTCCCCAAAGTGATCACTATAATTCTCAATTATCTTTGGGGAAATTGTGCCAGTTAGAAAGCTATGCACAAAAAGGGAGCCAGTGTTTGGCCTGAAAGAGGCCAAGTTTTCAATAGAAAAGACTCCATGGGAACTTCAGCGTGTCCACAGGGTGGTGCTTGTGTGACACTGCGTCTTGGGGCCAACCAAAGACTAACCAGCATCCAGGGTTGTCAAAAGCTTGGAAGACAAAGCCCTCAGAGCACACTGATCAAGAGCTGGATGACGTGGTGGGAGGAATAAGCTCCTAAGCTTGCCAGTATTCACAGCAAGGGGGTTTCCAAGATCAACTGGGGGAAGGTAATGGAATGAGTTAGAGTTTCCTGGGGAAACTGCCCCTGTGTGGACCGAAGGGGAGAGGCCCTGGGGAGGAAGGGAGGAAGCACACCTGGCCTCACCAAGCACAATGCGGGAGTAGGCGAGCTGAGCCAGGGAGGGAAGAGAGGACAGAGGCTCCTCCTTCACCTTAGCAATGGCCTCATGCTAAGGACAGGCCTGCAGCAGTCTCTGGGAAGGCCCAAGGCTACTAGCACCAACGGGAAAAGGTTGCTGGGCGAGCCCCTCTCACTCAGCTCCAGCAGCCCTATGGACCGCCCCACATCGGGTGGGCACCACCAGGCAGGTGAGGAGAGGAGAAAAGCCTGCTTGGGTGACCTGGGGCCAGCCCAGAAGGACGACCATTCCATCTTCTGCCAGCGCCATGGGCTGGCTCCATGGGACACACAGCAGCTGCTGCGTCCACAGAGTGGGGAACCTGGTGAGGATTCAAGGTGGGCCTGGACTGGGCAGTCCCAGTAAGCAGCTGGTGACATGGGGGCTGCATCTAATTCTCAGGGAGAGCAGGGTGTGGACAGGGTGTGAGGCCCAGCAAGCCAGGCCCAGGGGAGTAGGGAGCAGATCACAAGATGTTCCTAATCCAGGTGGCCCTGGCTTCCACTATACTGAACACAAACCAACCCTGTCAGAGGACGCTGCCCCTTGTTTATAAATTTGGGTTCTAGAAAAAAACCCCGATGCTGTTTTTGGAGCCATGTGATGGGACTGCTAGAAATCAGGCAGGGAAAGGCAATTGGCAGGCACACTTCCAGGTTGGGGGCATCAGGCACTGTGACAGCGAGGATGGCGCAGGGATGAGTGGGGAGCTTCCCTGCAGGGATCTGAGATCGCCAGGCAGAAGCTAGGCTGGGATAGGGCGGGAAACGCATTACACAATAAAGATTAGATTGCAGAGGGCCCAGCCTTCTAATGTTCCTCCTGCTCTCTGAAGCTCCCTCCACAGGCTCCTCCATCCCAGAACCTTCCGACAGGTAAGCTTCAAACCCTTCATACCTATCCAGTTCCCTAGCTCCTGGCCAGCCTCTAACTGTTGAGCCCCTGAGCCCCCTGTTTCCAACCACCAGGGGATGCTGGGGAGATCCTCTCCGCCTGAGCAAATCAGAACTTCCTGGAAGACGCAGGTGTCAGGATCAGCTTCTGGTTAAACTGGTTGATATTCTAGGTAGCACACCTTGAAGTTTCTCAGGACTGACAGTCATTGTGTCCGTTCTAAAGAAGGTGAAGGAATTTGATGGAAAGAAAGAAAGTAGGAAGAGTTGCCCAGACTTGCAGGTTGCCTCCTGTACTGATCCTGAGAACGTGTTCACATGGCATAGAAGTTTCCTTTTGTGGCCATTTGTAAGAACAGAAAATGAATGACTGCTTTTTTTTTTTTTTTTTTTTTTGAGATGGAGCCTCGCTCTGGCGCCCAGGCTGGAGTGCAGTGGCGTGATCTCGGCTCACTGCAAGCTCCGCCTCCTGGGTTCACACCATTCTCCTGCCTCAGCCTCCCAAGTGGCTGGGACTACAGGCGCCCGCCACCACACCCGGCTAATTTTTTTTTTGTATTTTTTAGTAGAGATGGGGTTTCACCCAGGATGGTCTCAATCTCTGACCTCATGATCCACCCGTCTCAGCCTCCCAAAGTGCTGGGATTACAGGCCTGAGCCACCGTGCCCGGCCAGGAAATGATTTATTCTTACAAATGACCACAGGTGTAGCTGCTCAATACAACACCCATTTATTTATTATTTATTTATTTATTTATTTAGAGACGAGGTCTCCCTCTGACATCCAGGCTGGATGGAGCGTAGTGGTATAATCTCAGCTTACTGCAGCCTTGACCACCCCGGGCTCAAGGGATTCTCCTACCTCAGCCTCCTGAATAGCTAGGACCACAGGTGGATGCCACCACACCTAGCTAATTTATTTATATTATTATTATTAGTAGTAGTGGTAGTAGAGATGAGTTTCCCTATGTTGCCCAAGCTGATCTGGAACTCCTGGGCTCAAGCGATCCTCCTACCTCCCAGTGTTGGGATTATAGGTATGAACCACCGAACCAGCCACAACACCCATTTATTGTCTCATACCACTGAAGTCCCTAAGTCAGCAAGCGTGGCTCTGCTTAGGGTCTCACAAGATTCACATCAAGGTTTTGTCTACCTCCAGCTTTTATTGGGAGCTCTGGGGAACATCCACTTCCAAGCTCATTTTGTTGACAGAGTTTCCATTAAGCCCTTTCCATCGTCAAGCCAACAGTGGGTTGAGTCCTTCTCATGCTTAGAATCTCTCTCACTTCTCCTGCTGCTGCATCTCTGTGACGCCAGTCAGAGAAAGCTCTCTGCCTTTTAGGGCTCGAGTGATTAGATTGGGCCACGTGGATAATCCAGGATAATATTCCTAGTTTAAGGTCCATAATTTTAATTACATCTGCAAAGTCCCTTTTGCCATATAATGAAACACAGTTATGGGTTCCAAGGATTAGGGCAGGGCCATCTTTGGGGGACCATTCTGCTAACCACACATAGTCATGTTTGTGTAAACTTTGCAAGAGTGATTTTTTTTTTTTTTTGGTCTTTTGTATCAGATTCTCCATCCTTAATTGAAGACTGTGTTTTTCAAGCTATGGTTCATCATTGCTGCTTTCCTTACAAAACAAATTCGCATGGCAATCAGCATTTTCTTAAGGAGTATAGTAGATTTAATTACATAAAAAATAATTGAAAATATCAGACACTATTGTATATAACTATTTACATTCCATGAAATTATTGGTATACACACACATCTCTGAACTAGGTCAGGATGTAAAGGATACTTAGTATATACTTGGTTAAGATTAAAACATTTTGAAAAGACCATTTAAGAAGAAAATGACCCTAGAATTCATCTGGAGCCTCGAGTTAGGCCTGTCCCTGTCCCGGGAAGGCTTGGCGCTCCAGGAGAGAGAGTCCCCTAGTAAGAGGTTCAGGCTGAGGGAAGCCCAGGCCCTGGCAGTTCCCCCTGACCCTCCACCGGACATCTGGAGGCTGGAAGGCCCACCTGTGTTGTCACTTTTCTCCCTTTTAGGTATGTCTAGAAGTCAGTTTGGACAGGGGCAGAAACCTCTAGACGTGTTTTTCTGGGTGAACGAGATAAGCGGAGAAATCACCTACCCCCCGCAGAAGGCAGATGCACCTGCTGTTTCTCCTGGGAGCCCACAAGAGAAGGCCCCATCTTGGCCCAGGAGCATGCAGGGGGCTCCTTGCAGTCCCCAGGGCCCGCCTGCACAGAGGCCTGCCCCTGCACCTCCATCTAAGGCTTCTCTGAAAGACTTAGGCTCAGGTAGCCCCCGCCCATCTGCACCGACCTGGGGCCAGGCCAAAGCCGGAGGAGCGAGGAGCCCCCCACCGTTCTCAGCAATCCCTGTTACCATCTCATCACCAGGAGTGACTCTGCCCATACTCGGGCCCCTGGGACCAGCTCCTCAGCCACCAATCTTGACCTCTCCTCTCAGCCCTTCTGCACCCTGGGACTTCACCTGCAAGCTGAAAAATGTCCTTACTGGGAATAACTGGTTTTCCTTTTGAATCTAAAGAAAATTTGGCCACACTCTTTAAGCACCTTCCTGAGCCACCTGTGGCCAGGCTCTGCGGGCCCCGACTGCCTTCCTTGGAAGCACAGGCCTCACCCTGGGGGTCTCACAGGAACGTGCCCAATGCTTTCAAACCCAGTAAAATTTTACTTAGATTTTGACATAACATTTCCTAGAGCTTCCTTTACTTTCCTTTAAAATACCAAACCGTCTTGGTATTTTACTCTTAATTCTTTGGGCTTCTGACATTGGTGTCAAAGCAATATGTTTAGTTTCCAGCCAGAGCCAGACCTCCTTGGGTGGGAATGGGAACAAGCCAGGATGACGGACCTGCAGGCCCAGTGTCCCTGGGGCACAGCCTGGGGCCTGCTGGGCTTGAGGACAGCATCCAGGGCAGGGAGGGGCTGGGGCCCTGCATGGAGCTCCCTTTTGAGACAGCCTGAGGCTAGAGGAAGCCAGCAGTGGACACCACCCTTTTAGGCCGGGTCACCCCTGTCCCCAGCTCTGTGCTTTCTCTGGGTACTGCCTCTCAGCCCTCCAGGCATGGAGTGACTCAGGCAGTGTGGGAAGCAGCCCCATCACAGACCTGGCCCTCCTTGATCAGCTGGCCAAAGGCTGGAGGGGAAGCCTTGCGGGTACAGGAGTGTGTCCTGGGGGAAGGACGCAGACTTGACCTGGGGACACAGAATGACCTGGTTTGAGGAGAAGCTGCTGGAAAAGCCCCACTTGTGTCCCTGAACAGGTGCTGGGTGGCTCCAAGTTGTACTGGAGCAGCTCCAGGTGAAGTGTGTCATCAGGATGGACTTGAAGTACACCAGGAACACCGGAGGGGAGTGGGGCATGCAGAGCAATGCCAGGTGGGTGTGGCCAGAATCTGACACGCAGCTGAGCCTTGGCCAGCCTTGCAGTGTGCATCCTTGGCTTTGCCAGTGGAGCACTGTTCCCTGCCACGAGGAGCTTGAGTTGCTGGGTACCAACGAAGTGGACTTCTGAGGGCGAGGAAGAGCAGAGCTACCCAAAAGAGGAGGCCCTGGTGCTCCTGGCTCATGGGTGCCTAACCACAGAGTCCTGGTGGAGAAACACCCTCCCATGCCCCTCAGCAGGCTACACCAGCCCAGCCCCGCAATCATCACACCCAGGTGTCTCCCAGGTTTCATCTGATTCTTGGCCGAACCCAGGCCTCCAGAGTCTTTCATCCTAGGTGGGGCAGGTCAGAGGTCAAAGGTTAGGATGGCTCCATGTCTCTTTCCGACTAGCGCTTCTATATTATTCCAGGAAATGGGCCCATGGAAGACCCTGATCCTTCTGAGCTGGGGGCACGGGCCTGGGATCCAGCCTCAAATCTGCAGCCACTACGTCCTGTGACCTCGGCAGGATTCTACCTACCTTGGCCTCAGTTTCCCTCCCTGCACAATATGGGAGTGAGCAAGCCAGTCTGTCAAGCCTGCTCAACCTACAGGCTGTGACAAAGCACTGGGAACAAGAGGCAGCATGGAGGTCAGCCCCGGGCTGGGGTCAGCTGATCCTGAGGGCCTGGCTGCTTCTGAGGGTGGCAGAGGGCAGGGCCCAACAGCTCCACAGGGTGGGCAGGAGGACGGGTGTGCACTCCCTGTGCCCCTTGCAGGGTGGCCTTGATGAAGTCCTTGGTGTCACTGCTGGTGGGCACTCATGACGTGCTCCAGGACATCCACCTGTGCATGGCCACATGGTCAGCAAACAATGGAGAGCAGGCCAAGCTGGAGGACAGAGGGAGGCCCGGAGCCTGCAAGGTCATCTGGGCCCTGGGCCTTGGAGGCAGGGGCTGTGGGTCTCTTGGGCAGAGTGACTGGGACCAGGGCCTCCAGTCCTAACCTGGCTTGGGCTCTTAAGCCTCATGCTCCTCCAACCCACAAGAACCCCAGCAAGTGTCATAGAGCTGCCCAGAGGGATACAAGCCCAGCCTGCAGCAGGAATCTGAGTTCACCCTGGGGTGGGGATCAGGGCTTAGTGTACACCAGCAGAGTCTCTAGGGCAACAAATCCCCTGGACAGGCCACCTAGAGCCTTTGTGGGACAGCATGGCTCAGTGCTCTGCCCTGTGGCCTGGCAGGGCCTCTTCTGCTGACAGTGGATGTATGAAAAAACCTGGGCAGCAGTTTCCTATTAAAGTTGGCCTTGTTGCCCATTTCCAAGACAGTTATCAGTTTGAGCTCTCAGGATCTCTAATCTGAAAACGCAACCGACAGTGGGTGTGGCCCCCCTTCACGTGGACCTGGTGCCCTGTGTTGGATGACAGGGGCCTTGCAGTTAATAAAACAGTAACTTCTCCCCAGGCCAGAATATGTTTGTGTGTGTGGTAGGAAAAGGGTAGGGAGGATGGAAGTGGGATGAGTAGGGATCTGTGGGTGATCTCATTCTTCCACTCCCTAAAGGATGAGGAGATGGAGGGTCATAGGTGGAGAGATTCTTTAGCCACACAACTGTGAAGAGAGGGGCTATTTGGTCATGGAATTCACATTCTGCTCCCAGTGGCAGGAGTGGGAACTGGGGGGATCTTGGGAGTTGAGTGTCCTTGGGGATCACAGACCATAGAGACAAAAGCTGTCAGGCCTGGGCAGGGAGAGTGCCCTGGCCATGCATTCAGCTGACTTGCTCCTGGGGGTTTGGTCTGAAATTCCACTCAGGTGAGCTGAACTTGCTGCATTGTGGCTCTGATAGGGTGATGTTTTGAGTAAAGCCCAAATCTCAGGTTTTCATGTCTCCCAGGCAGAATTTATGTCAGGGGGAAGTGGCCTGTTTGGGGCAGAGATGAGGGAAGGGTGAGGGGGTTCCAGGTCTGTATTAGTCTGTTTTCAGACTGCTGATAAAGACATACCCAAGACTGGGTAATTTAGAAGATGTTTAATGGACTCACAGTTCCACATGGCTGGGGAGGCCTCAGAATCACGGGGGAAGGGGAAAGGCACATCTTACATGGTGGCAGACAAGAGAGAATAAGAGCCAAGCAAAAGGGAAACCCCTTATAAAACCATGAGATCTTGTGACACTTATTCACTACCACAGAACAATGTGGGGGAAACCACTCCTGTGATGCAATTATCTCCCACCTGGTCCCTCCTACAACGCATGGGGATTATGGGAACGACAATTCAGGATGAGATTTGGGTGGGGACACAGTCAAACCATATCAAGGTCATCTGAGAGTTGTGCCCCAAGGAGGTGATATCTGGGGAAGAGCTGAGTGTCCTGAGGCTGCCAGGTCTGGAGGAGGAGACACAGGGTCTGGCAGGGGCTATCCTGCAGGGACCATGGGGTCAGTGGGGAGCTCAGTGGGGAGCCCCAGGGGCAGATTTCAGTTCCATTCGGAGGAGGTTTTGCTTGTTCAGAGCTGCACCCCACCTTGTGAGCTGCCTGGTGAGTGAGTGAGGGCTCCATCACTGCAGGCATGCAAGCAGAGTCTGGGCAAGCCCTGCTAGGGCCTCCCAGGCTGCAGATGGCTGCAGGGTCCTACTGACAACACACTCCTACCAGGGCTGGCGGTGGCCTGAGCCAAGCACCCTCCTGTCCAGGGGCATCCAGGCGCCGTCCTTCCCTTTCCCCCCAGCTGCTGGGTATGCGTCTTCAGGTGTGGCTAAAGGACGGGGCGTTTAGGGAGAGACCCAGTCCTCTGCCCCCGGCCACCTTATCTGCTCCCTCACCATCTCTAGTGCCTTCTGACTCAAGGACTACTCTCACATCTGCTCTTTCCCAGCTCCGTGCCTCTCCCCCAGCCACTCAAGTGGCTTCTCCCATGTAAAATGCTCCCTCTTGCTTTCCTTTGCAGGCCTGGAGCTAAGGACAAGTTCCCCTGGGTCAGAGCTCCATGCAATGCAGTTGCAGAGTTTGTGTGCGTGGCTCTGAGGGCTGAGGTGGGGCACAGGAGGAGCCACTGGGTCCTGAGGCATGGGGAGGGCATTCTGGAGGGCAGGAACAGCTTGAGCAAAGCTATGGAGGCCAGAAGCTGAAATGGAGCAGGTCAGGGTGCTGGCTGGCCGAGCAGGTCCAGCTGCAGATATGGGCAGGAAGAGGTGAGGTGGGAGTGGGAGGTTTTTAAGAGACCCATTGAGGAGCTGCAACTGTTTCTTCCATCCTGGGGAGCCACACAGTGTGTTTGAGCAGGGTGTGCAGTTCTGAAAGTGTGAAGGGTGGGCAGGGGAGCGCTCACGGGCTGAGATGGTGTAGATATCTGCAGGGACAGGCCATCTGCACAGGTAGATAGAGTGGGGGAGAGAGGGTGGGAAGCTGGGGCAGAGCCTGGAGTGATGGGCAGGGAGCAGGATGGAGAGGGGTGGGGACAGTCTCCTTGGCTTCTGTCGCTACACTCTTCTTGAACAGGCCCTCCAGCAGCTCCTTTGACACCGAGGCTCTGGTGGAGGAAAATATTGGTGTGGTTGGAACCTGATCTGGTCCTTGTCCTCCAAACACCTGTGGCCTATGGTGGGCAGACCTCAGAGTGTTCTTTGCTGTGGGTGAGGGCTTTGCTGGGAAGCTGGTGTTCAGATGCCTGGTGGTGGCCAGGGAGGGGCACCGGGACAGTGGGCCAGGAGCCCCTAAGGGGATAACCCTAAGGACTATCAGCACCCTCAGCATGGAACTGGGTCTTGCCCCCCGAAAATGAACTCAGCAAGGCAGGGACACTCACTTCCGGGCTCTCTGCTAGAAATTGAAGGTGCCCGTGACCCTCCCATGACCATTCCCCAGTGAGGCTTCCAATGCCTGCTGGGCCAAGCCAAGAGAAGACATTCAGAGGGTCCTCGACAAAGGATGTTAAGGCCCTCCAGAGGGCATGACTCCCCTTTGATCCCCAGGGCCCCTGTTCCTACCCTGTGCCAGGTCCCTGTGGGCTGGAGTTGGCTTCAGTGATGGCCTGACGCTGAGCCATGCTCCCTGGACCTGCATGTCCCCATCGGTGACCTATATGGATGGGGGGTTGAGGGGTGGGGAGAGGGGGACCCATGAACTCGGGTCACTTGGATACCAACCTCAGGGACAAGGGCAAGTGGCCCTCGGGAACCTGTCACAGCCATCAGGCACACTGATCGTGTGAACCTGTCTCACATGTTTACTGAGAACCTACTACGTGTTGGAGAAATAAGGCCAGAGACATCCACATGTGTCCAGCTGGGTGGCCATCAAGGCCCTGAGATGCTCTATGGTGACTGATTTGCCTCCCAAGTGATGGGATTACCACATTCTGACTCTGATGAGGCCTCTGGTAGCCAGAAAATTCTTCTTTCTGTCTTACCACTGCCTTGCCTGCTTGGGCTTAAGCCAACATTAGGGAAGCTGGTCAACCATTCAGGATGAAAGACATTCTAACCTCAGGCTGTTGGGGGAAGATGGCTTCATGAACATCCAAGTTCTCTGCTGTCCCACTGCTGAGCTCACCTTTCCCCAAGGAAGTGGTTCTGGTCAGACCAGAGAGTTCCAGCCATCCCAGGTGATGGCCTGGGACAGAGGCCCCCAGTGAGCCCCAGGCCCGGATGGGCTGGCCCTACAGATCAGCCAATGGGGAGGGCCCTGGGTTGGGACACATTAGATGGCCCTGGCTGGCTCCTCTTGCAGTGATCCCTGGCCCTGGGTTTGAGGGATGTGGGAAGTCCAGCCCAGTCCCTGTCATACGTGCGACGTCGCCTTGCCGGTCTGGTACACGGGGCCCTCTGCGTGGTTTCCTTGAACATGTGGCCTCCATCCTGTGGTGACCTCTCTGCCTGGGGCCATGCTGGGTGTACAGTCATTAGTGAGCAGAGCATCGAGTTCTGGAGCCAGTAGGCCTTGATTTGGGGCCCGGCTTCTTCACTTCCTGGCCAGCTAAGCTGAAGATGGGGATGGGTGGGTGGTCCCTGCTCTGTGCCCACCCTGGAGGCTGCAGCAACGACTCCATGGAATGAGGTGTACAAAAGGGGAGCCCAGCCCTGGCTGAGGAGGGAAACAGATTCCTAGAGCTGGGGGCTTGCTGTATGCAGCCCTGCGGTGCTGAGGCCACCTGCCCAAGAGGGCCATTGCTCCTCCCTCCCTCTGCTGCTGAGAGTCTCTCTGGGCTCAGCATGGGGAGGCAAGATGTCTGGAGCCCAGCCCTCAAAGACTCCTGCCTGGCCCTCTGGCTAAGAGACATCTGGAGAGAGTGAGTGGGTCTTGCCCTGACCCTCATAAATGGGGGGCTACCTGCTGCTCTGACCCAAGGAGACTACTCTGTGGGGGCAGCTCCTCCCTGTGCCCAGTGCCTGTGCCATCTCCTGTTCCAGGCCCACATGGGGGATGCGCTAGGACACCTCCCTGGACTCACTTTGGATTTTGGCTGGTGAGAGACAAGGGGGCCTGGTGAGGCAGTCTTGGGATGGGACATGGGCCCTGCCCTGAGGTTGCACAATGGGAGAGGAGGGGTTAGCCAGATAAGCTGTACCTCGAACCATGTGGAGCCAGACGTCACCCCGTGGGCTGGAGAATGTGACTGTGCATTGTTTCTGACTGAGAAGGGACTGGGAGACACACCCAGAACAGAGCACTCGACGGTCACTCTAGGGACCATGGACCACTGGAGTGAGAATGGCAGGGCCCAGTTAATAACGGCTGCTGGCTCCATTCCACACGAATGCCCATCACCTCCCTCGACTTCACGGCAGAGCTCACACGCCACAGACACCCTCCTTTCAGCAGCCAGGCCATAAGTGTTTCCCACCTGCCAGTTTATAGCTGGGCTGGACACAGTGAGGCCCCAGCCATCCACACCACACGACTGTACAACTCTTCCCTCTGGAACACATTGGGGTTACCCCGACTGGGGAGAAACATCAGCTGCAGAGCCTGTGCACCTTACTTTGAGGAAGAGGTGGGCTGCTAAGGCCAAGGTCATGAGGAGCAAGGCTGCTATCTCTCAGCACCGAGGATGACAGCAGTCACTACATTTTGCATTTTAAATGATCAAGCAACATGCGAGCAGGAATTCAAAGGCTGAGGGCACATAGGCCTCTAGCTGGGGAGTGCCCAGGAAGGAGCCAAGCCTGGCCTCCCACTCATGGCAGGGGGCATTGCTGAACCAGTGTATCAGTCTGGGTCCAATCAGAAAACAGAAACACACAGTGATTTATTTATTTATTTATTTTTGGGGGGCACGGACTTTCACTCTTGTTGCCCAGGCTGGAGTGCACTGGTGCGATCTCG